GGGGGTCTCACCCCCCCATTGGGGGTCTCCCTCCCCCTTTGGAGGTCTCCCCCCTCCTTTGAGGGTCCTGCCTCCCTTTGGGGTCCCCCTGTTGCTGCCTCCCCCTTTGAGGTCTCCCTCCCCCTTTGGGGGTCTCCCCCTCCGTAGGATCTCCCCCCACACTTTGGGGATCTCCCCCTCCCTTTGGGGTTGCCCCCTTTGGTGTCTCCCTCCCCCTTTGGGGTCTCCCTCCCCCTTTGGGGTCTCCCTCCCCCTTTAGGATCTCTCCCCTGCCTCTGGGGGGTCTCCTCTCCGCTTTAGGTTCCCCCCCACTTTGGGGTCTCCCCCGTTGGGAGACCCTCCCCTTTTGGGGGTCTCCCCCTCCCTTTGGGGTTGCCCCCTTTGGTGTCTCCCCCCCTTTGGGGTCCCTGTGGCCCCACCTGGTCCCCGCTGGGGGCGGTGCCGTCGCAGGGGCTGTTGTGGGGTCTGCGCAGGGGCTCCCACTGCCCCCCCCGGTCGAAGGTGATCACGGAGCGGATGGAATTGTCTGGGATGGGCACAGGGAATGTCCGGGAATGACAGGGAGTAGGGGGGGGGAGGGCTCAGCACAGCCCCCAACCCCCCAGCACCCCCAGATCCCACAGCCCCCAGTCCTGGGAAGGAGTTTGGGGGCAGGGTCACACCCCCCTCCCTCCCACCAGGGTCCCATCCCAGGGTGGGACCCCCTTCCCTCCATCCCCCCAGATCCCAAGTCCCACCCCTGTGGAAGATTTTTGGGACGGGATCCCCCTCCCCTCCATCCCCCCAGATCCAAGAGCCCAGATACAAGATCCCAGGGGGGGACTTTTGGGATGGGATCCCTCCTCCCCAGATCCCAAATCCCATCCCTCTGGAAGATTTTTGGGGTGGGATCACCCTCCCCTCCATCCCAGATCCCAGATCCCAGATCCCAAATCCCATGCCAGGGGAGGATTTAGGGGATGGGATCACCTTCTCCTCCATCCCCCCCATCCCAGATCCCAAGGGAGGATTTGTGGGGTGGGATCCCTCTCCCCTCCATCCCCCCAGATCAGATCCCAGACCCCAAATCTTACCCCTGTGGAAGATTTTTGGGGTGAGATCCCCCTTCCCTCCTCCATCCCCCCAGATCCCAGAGCCCAGATCCCAGGGCAGGATTTCTGGGATGGGATTACTCTCCTCTCCATCCCCACAGATCCCTGAACCCTGAAGAGGATTTTTGGGATGGGATCACCCTCTTCTCCATCCCCCTTAACCCAGATCCCAGGAGTGGATCCCAGTGGTGGATCCCAAGTATGGATCCCAGGCCCCAGGGATGGATCCTACAGGCAGATCCCAGATCCCAGGGGTGGGTCTCAGCCCCCATTAATGGATCCCAAGGGTGGGTCCCAGGGGTGGATCCTAGGCCCCAGGGATGGATCCCAGATCCCACAGGCAGATCCCAGATCCCAGGGGTGTATTCCAGATCTCAGTGATTGATCCCAGATCCCTGAATGGATCCCGGGGTGGATCCCAGGGCAGATCCTGGGTGGATCCTGAGGTGGATGCCAGGGGTAGATCCCGGGTGGATCCCAGGGCAGATCCTGGGTGGATCCTGAGGTGGATGCCAGAGGTAGATCCCGGGTGGATCCCAGGGCAGATCCCGGGTGGATCCTGGGGCAGATCCCAGGTGGATCCCAGGGGTAGATCCTGGGTGGATCCTGGGGCAGATCCTGGGTGGATCCCAGATCCCTGGTGGATCCCAGCCCCCTGGGGTGGATCCCGGGGCAGATCCCAGGTGGATCCCAGGGGCAGATCCTGGGTGGATCCTGGGGCAGATCCCGGGTGGGTCCCAGCGCACCCTCGGCCAGCACGCTGGTGATGAAGGTGCCGCGCAGGGAGGTGACGTTGGTGAAGTCGGTCTCCCCGCCCGTGGTGGTGTACAGGTGCCTCTCCAGGGACTTGGAGTAGAGGATCCCGCGCTCGTCCGACGTGTAGATGGTCCCGAATCCCGTGTCTGCAGCGGGGGGGGCGGGAAGCACCAAATCCATGGAAAACACAGCGGGYGGGGGGACGGTCAGCAGAGTCCCACGGGGAAACCCCCCCGTGCTCCTCCCAGAG